GACTTACCGGCTGATGTTTTGCTTGGGAACGACTTGGCCCCTTTGGTGTCCGCTTATGCTCCAATGGGACCTGCCGATATCAACCCAGTGACTACCCGTGCCCAGACCCGTGCTGCTGGAACCAGCCCACCTGCTGCTGAGACCCAGGTAAGAACCGTGTCCCCGACTGGTACCCTAGAACAGACTTTTATTAGCTGGGATTCTCCAGAGGAGTTTGGGAGGGAAACTCAGACAGATTCGACCCTCCAGAAGTATAGGGGCAGAGCAGATACTGGAGAGGAAGGATTAGATGGGGAACGGTATGAGTGGGTGGGGGACAGGTTGTATAGGATCCCCAAGCTTTCCCCGAAAAGTGTTGCCCCTCCGCCGAATCGACAGCTGGTGGTGCCCGCAAAATACCGGCAGGAGATTCTGCGGATAGGGCATGATGTTCCCCTAGCTGGACATCTAGGTTCCCGCCGCACAGCCTATAGGATCATCCAGAACTTCTTTTGGCCAAACTTTAATCAGGCTGTTCGGACATACTGCAGTACGTGTGACACATGTCAACGGGTAGGAAAGCGGGGGGACCACCCAAGAGCTAGGCTTATGTCTATGCCTATTATTGGGGAGCCCTTTGCCCGTATAGCCGTTGACATTGTGGGTCCACTGGCCAGGGCTAGTCCATCCGGTAAGAAATATATTCTCACCGTGGTGGATTATGCCACTCGCTATCCAGAGGCAGTAGCGCTGTCTAATATAGAGGCAGAGACAGTTGCTGATGCCCTGGTTAGGATTTTTACCAGAGTCGGGTTCCCTCAAGAGATTCTCTCTGACCAGGGAACCCAATTCACCGCTGTGCTCACCCAGCAACTGTGGAAGGTGTGCGGCATTAAGCCGCTGCTTAGCTCACCTTACCATCCCCAGACTAACGGTCTCTGCGAGCGATTTAACGGTACCCTCAAACAGATGCTGAGGACCTTTTCTGACACTTGCAGAGACTGGGAGCGATTCCTGCCTCATCTGTTGTTTTCCTACAGAGAGGTGCCTCAGGAATCTACTGGGTTCTCCCCCTTTGAGTTGCTATATGGGAGAAGGGTCCGCGGACCCCTAGATCTCATTAGAGGCCACTGGGAGGGGGAGACAGAGCAGGAAGGGACCCCCATAGTACCGTATGTTCTGGAACTCCGGGACCGCATGGAGAAACTGTCCCTAATGGTAAGGGAGAATCTCCAGGTGGCTCAGGGGAGACAGAAGAGGTGGTACGATCGGGGTGCCCGACAGCGAGTCTTCCAGGTTGGGCAGAAAGTGTTAGTACTCAAACCTGTGAAGGCGAACAAGATGCAGGCATCTTGGCAGGGCCCGTATAAGGTGTTAGCACAGATATGTGATACTACCTACCTTATAGCCAGCTGTTCAGATGAAAGGATCCAGCGATCCTTCCATGTGAACATGCTAAAGGAGTATCAGGAGAGACCAGAGAATGTCGCTGCAGTATGTGCCCCTGCTGCAGATGATACAGAGAGTTTACCCTTACCAGATCTGTTAGAGAGGGACCCCCAGACGGATCTTACTAGCCTGGTACAGCTAGGGGACAGATTGAGCTCCACCGAGAAGGGCCAGGCAAGACAGCTTCTGTGGGAAAAGCAGGCGACCTTCTCCCAAGAACCTGGTTACACTACCCTAGCTGTACACAAGGTAGAAACCCCTGGACAGAACCCTCTGCGACAACCCCCTTACCGTATCCCTGAAGCAGTCCGGGAAGGAATGCGGAAGGAGATACAGGAGATGACCCAGCTGGGGGTCATCGAACACTCCGATAGCCCTTGGGCCTCGCCTGTAGTCCTGGTGCCCAAGAAGGATGGGACCACCCGGTTCTGTGTGGACTACAGGCGTCTCAATGAGCGGACCACCACTGACGCCTACCCGATGCCCCGGGTAGATGAATTGTTAGATCACATTGCCAGGGGACGCTATCTGACCACCATAGACCTGTGCAAAGGCTACTGGCAGATTCCCCTGGCCGAGGATGCTATCCCCAAATCGGCCTTCGTCACCCCATTTGGCCTGTACCAATTTAAGGTCATGCCATTTGGGATAAAGAATGCACCGGCTACCTTCCAGCGTATGGTGGATAGACTTCTTGATGGATTCCAGGAATTTGCTTGTGCATACCTGGACGACATTTCGATCTACAGTGAGTCCTGGGAAGAACACCTAGTACATGTAGGGGTAGTACTGGACAAGATTCGGGCCGCTGGCCTGACATTGAAACCAGAGAAGTGCCATTTAGGCATGGCTGAAGTGCAGTACCTGGGTCACAGAGTAGGGTGTGGGAGCCAGAGGCCAGAGCCAGTCAAGATAGAGGCAGTAGCTAACTGGCCCACACCTATCACCAAGACCCAGGTGTTAGCCTTCCTAGGGACAGCAGGGTACTATAGACGCTTTGTCCCCGACTACAGCACTATTGCTAAACCCCTGACTGACCTGACAAAGAAAAATCTTCCTAAGCAGGTCCTGTGGTCTCCAGCTTGTGAAGCTGCGTTCCAAGCACTCAAACAAGCTCTTGTGAATGCCCCTGTCCTGGCTGCCCCAGTCCCTAACAAACGTTTTCTCGTCCATACAGATGCTTCCATGTATGGACTGGGGGCTGTGCTGAGCCAGGTCGGGGAAGATGGAGGAGAGCACCCTTTCGCATATCTCAGTAGGAAGCTGTTACCCAGAGAAGTGAGTTATGCAGCAGTGGAGAAGGAGTGTTTGGCCCTGGTGTGGGCATTGAAAAAGTTAAGCCCGTATTTATATGGACAGGAATTTTCCCTGGTGACGGACCACAATCCCCTTGTCTGGCTTAACCGGGTCTCAGGAGACAATGGCAGACTGCTGAGGTGGAGTTTAGCACTACAGCCATATAACTTCACCATCAGTTATCGACCCGGTAAGCAGAATGGGAATGCAGATGGATTGTCCAGGCAAACCGACATCCTCACCCCATCTTAGTCCGGTCATCCCCACGTTGACCCGCCAAAGGGTCAAGCCGGGTCTGCCGGAGTGTCCCACAAGGGGGGAGCCGTGTGACAGATTCATCTGTATTGCTGGTTCGTCTGTTTCCCTTTGTTCGCTGGATTGCCTGTTCATATACCCCCGTTCGTGTAATTTGCAAACTACCGATTGAAACTACTGAACGAACAACCACCCAGGAGAGGAGTGTGCTGCTGGTTAACCTCTTGGCCCCAATTAGAACGTTGTGGTTAACCGCAGACACCTCTCCATTCCATTCGTACGGTGGTCGTCGTTCGCATGTCGACCACGAGGCAGCGGCCATTTTGGGACATACGAACGCATAGCGGTGTTCGGTACAAACTGTATGGAACTAAAAACGGACACTTAAACTACCGAACACCGCTGGAAGCTGCTGCCTACCTTCCATTTCGACAAGGCATGCGAACGTCGGTCGTTCGGGAGTTTTTATTCATTCGTATGGACTTTTACCCAGACAGCCGTCCCATGGAGTCATTCGTATACCGAAGGACTGGTGAAAGACTTTGACTCCATGGCGATTCGACTAGATACATCAGATCTGAGCGCTATTCGGTGAAAACAGGCACTCAGATCCAGGCTGTCTGGGGACATGTTACACGAACTATATGCATTCGGTATTTCTTCAGTTATGTATTTTAATGTATTTTTATTACTGTAAGTTAAAATGGCGATTATCTCTACCTTGGGAGATAATTAGATTTCTTCCTAATTATCTCTGGGGTAGAGAAGACGGATTTATGGGTAAGATGGTGTGACAGATTCATCTGCATTGTTGGTTCGTCTGTTTCCCTTTTGTTCGCGGAATTGCCTGTTCCTATACCCCCGTTCGTGTAATTTGCAAAATACCGATTGAAACTACCGAACGAACGACCACCCAGGAGAGGAGTGTGCTGCTGGTTAACCTCCTGGCCCCAATTAGAACGTTGTGGTTAACCGCAGACACCTCTCCATTCCATTCGTACGGGTGGTCGTCGTTCGCATGTCGACCACGAGGCAGCGGCCATTTTGGGACATACGAACACAGAGCAGTGTTCGGTACAAACTGTATGGAACTAAAAACGGACACTTAAACTACCGAACACCGCTGAAAAGCTGCTGCCTACCTTCCTTTTCGACAAGGCATGCGAACGTCGGTCGTTCGGGAGTTTTATTCATTCGTATGGACTTTCACCCCGACAGCCATCCCATGGAGTCATTCGTATACCAAAGGACTGGTGAAGGACTTTGACTCCATGGCGATTCGACTAGATACATCAGATCTGAGCGCTATTCGGTGAAAACATGCACTCAGATCCAGGCTGTCTGGGGATACGTTACACGAACTATATGCATTCGGTATTTCTTCAGTTATGTATTTTAATGTATTTTTATTACTGTAAGTTAAAATGGCGATTGTCTCTACCTTGGGAGATAATTAGGTTTCTTCCTAATTATCTCCGGGGTAGAGAAGACGGATTTATGGGTAAGATGGGAAGGGCTATTATTGAAGCCACTGCGATTGGCTACTGTCCAATATGTTTTACAGTCTTCCACAAGGTCCCCTTGGGGAGTGTCCACCTTGTGGAGACCTGCATAAATACCGGGCAGGTAGCCCCCATTAAACAGAACTTCATTTGACCCTCAAGACGGAGCTTGGTCTCGTTTGTGGGGGAATTATTACTGGGACAGCGCTTTCGTTATTTCTAGCTGTGGAAGGCGTTCGACTGTTTAGCTGATCGGGAGTTGCCGTGTTCGTGGACTTCGTTCGGGAGTTTGGCGATCGGCTGGATTTAAACTGCATTTCTGGAAAAAGGGATTATTGCCTAAACGGCGGCTTCATCTACCCGACGGTACGTGTCGTAACACCTCCTAATCAAATCCCTATTTCGATGGTCCAGTCATATCCACACTTAATACATGGGAATCCATCCTTGGTACACTCAACATACATCAATGACACACATAGTACATCCATGCCTGAGTAAGCTAACACTTCCTCTCTCTCCGGCTAACTCTACAAAAATAAAAATAACAAAATAGTTCAATAGTCCAGCATAGTCCAGAAAAATATTATAAGTCTTTCAAGGAGTATAAAGAATCTTAGACACCATAAACTTTGTTCCATAATCTTAGACACCATAACATAGCTAAGGGTAGCAATATGGCTGACAACAAGACAATGTCAGCTTCAACATAGTTCTTAATTCTTCTGTTTGCTGGATGTTCACCACAATACTCTGTGCAACACCCCAATTGTTGAAAGGGTAATACAGAAATAGCGGCATTAGACAGCACTGCATCTTCAGGACTTTCCAAGTTAGTTTATGCCCTCATAAGTAAGCATCTCAGTTTCTTCGGCCAGCATGGTTTTTTTGACCAAACAGATTTAATTGCAAAAAAAGGTAGGTCAGCCAGAGAGATTGGTGTGTAGTCCCAAATATCAGGCGGCACAAATACTCCAGTACGGTCTCTATAATCATACAAACACAAGGATCAGTACGACATCAATAAATTAATTATCTAGGCTAAACTCAAATTAGAAACTAAAGTTAAACTCTTAACTAGTGTAACATGTACTTCTCTCAGTTTTGCTTATAATTCATTGAATTTGTCCTTTATAAAATTTTAATACATAATTTCCCTTTAGAATGCCTTTGTATGTATGAGAGAAGCACTCATTCTATATAAATGCTTGTTGAGTACTAAAACAATAACATATACATATTGGTATAATTCCCAATAAAATGCTGTTCTTAAACTTAAACCTTGATTTGATAATCTCAATTAATTACTATAATAACATTGGAATGCTGAAGTCTGTTAGTTTTGTGGACCCTGATAACATCTTTGGAAACCGAAACCCTTTATAGATCCCGATGTCCAAAAAGCCACCAGTTCTGTCGGTGTGTGATCATGTTTTAATACATGTTAGAACCTCCATACTGTTATCCCACTTAAACAATATATTTTTTTTCAGAACAACTAGGAATGAAATAGGAGAAACAAAATAAATTACCATTGTTCTAAAGTGCTTTGTTTAATACAGGTTTCGGAAGAGTTGTCTTGCTGTGTTGCAAGTGGCCTCTGATAAGGAAGGGACAGCAAACTGTAGACATATGTTATATTGAGTTGCTCTCATTTGTGAGGTCTTGGAAACCCACTTATTTTATTGCAGATGCCTCTATTATACCACTTTACAAATTGACTAAGCATACTTATTATCCTATTTTATTTTAGTTATTTCACATTGCACAGCCTATGCAAACAATGTCTAGATCCCAACTTCAGCTTGTACATCCTCTAAGAGCCAGCATTAATACTGTTTTATCTATCAAAACTATATATAAAGTATTAAAAACATGAACCATCTGTGTATTAGGCTGAGGTTGTTGGGTGTGGGTATAGCTTGAAAGTTGTGGTTGGTATTGAGGAACCTGCCAGGGTGGGGTCCTTGAATGCCAGCTGGGCCAGGTTGACCAGGAGAACCGGGTTCACCACAAGCACCTTTGGGTGAATCCCTGCTATCCATAATTAAAACAGTGCTCAAGTTACCACCTCTACAAAAGTTAGATCCTTTGATCAAATTCTCTACCTCTGCCTCTAAAACTTTTTTGATTCAATCTCCTATCACCTCCAAAATTTCTTTGTCTCGCCTGCTTAAGATCACAATCCTTTGTGACCGATACAACATACTTTTCCCTCTTTCTTTATATCAAAACAACCTGCTGTATCTTTCTCATGTATCTTCCCAAAAAATTAAGTTGGGGTCAAAGAGGGCCAGTCACAGACCAACAGTTTGACCAAAAGTGAACAAGGCGGAAGCATATTCCATATGAAGGTCGAGATTTACAACCTACCAAAGGCAACCTCTACCAAAGAGGGATCTAGGGACGTCTCCCATATGTAAATGACACTATAACCAGTTTAATGAGATGAAGCAGATACAGTGCCTACTGTGTCCCTTTAAGCGAACATGACATGACCCAAGTCTATGATATCTGTTAGAAAAGAGAGGAAAAACCTCTTAATCATAAGTACAAAAAAGATGTGATGGAGAAAGACAGAGATGAAAAAATATTAGTAGAAGGAGAGAGAGGAAGTAAACAAGGCCTTTGTCTGTGGTTTGAGACATATCTGAAATCTCCAGCTTCAGATATGTTGATGACTCACACATCCTTACATAAGCTTTGTATCTAAAGTTAGACTGCACCGTTCTACATAACATCCCTCAGCTCTGATACTCTCGAAGAACAAACCAATTTAGCATTGGCTATGGACTGTTCAAGTGTGACTGCACAGTGAGGTATAATGTTACTATATATTAAAGGAACACTAGGATTAGAAATACAAATGTGTATTCCTGACCCTAAATAGAGTTAGAAACATTATTGAGCTGCCCAGCCCCTCTTAAAAAAAAATATTAACTGCAGCGTCACACTAGTCTGCTGGTGCTGGCCCCGCCCACACTTTGCCTCCGTGGCTGAGATAATCAAAATTGATGATC